AAGAGGATGTGCTCCCTTGACTTTCTAGCACCTGGCCAGCAAAGACTAAGAAACAGTCTTCCCCTAGGCTCTAAATTGTCTTTGGAGAAGCAGAGCTGACTTGTATGAGTAAATGAAATATTTGCATACCTAAAGGTCACAAATGATGCAACCCCTCTCCCAACCCTGAGCTCCTTAGTGATGATTTTGAAGTGAGAAACTTTCAAGGCACTCCCAAGTCAATCAAGATAGTCTCTCACTGCATAGCCCTTCTGCTTAGCAAAAGGTCAAAGTGCATTATATAGACTTGGGACTTGCTTCCCAATGTGTTAGGCACTGGTCATGTATGACTACTGGGTTCTGACGTGGTCTTGGTAAGAAGTTTAAGCAGCAGAGATTCTAGTAACTGATGGGCATGGTGGCAGGCGACACCCCCCCCCCCCCCGTGACATGAGATCTCCTTGAGAATCATGCAGAACTAGAATACTGCTAGGCAGGGTCTGAAAGATCTGAGACTGGCAGGAAGAATGCCTGGGCTCTTCAGATTTTCCCCTTTGAGTCCAAGACTAATAAACTCCATTTGCTCCCCTGATTCTCACTACCCTTGAGGAAACTTTCTCTATGGAGAAAGTGGGACTCCACCTGTCACACATGCTGCCAAAATCTTTGAGGCTAGTGGCAGCTCCCAGTACATAAAGAGGGAAACTTCTAATGCATGAAATGTGACTTGGATGTAAACGTTGGAAGGTTTGAAGGGAGAAGGATGAAAAGACAGGATTAAGAGGGAGTAAATATGACCAAGATATCACACACATATGTGAAAATATAATAATTAAACCATTAAAATTCTGTAAGATAGCCAGGTGCTGAGATCTAAGGATTGCAATTTAAAGCCATCCAGGGCAAAAAATTCCAGGATACTCAATTCTCTATAATCAATCAACTACCAAAAAAAAGCTGAAAGTGGAGGTGTGGTGCAAGAGATGGAGTACCAACCTTGAGTAAGAAAGCTAAATGAACCTGGAGCTAGTGGCTTACACCTGTAATCTTAGCAACTCAGGAGGCTGAGATCTGAGGATCAAAGTTCTAGGCCAGCTCAGGAAAGGAAGTCTGTGAGATTCTTATCTCCAATAAAACTGCCAAGAAAAAGCCAAAAGGGGAGCCGTGGCTCAAGTGGTAGAGCCTTAAGCATAAAAGCTCAGAGAAAGCAGCCAAGCCCTGAGTTCAAGCCCCAGAACACCAAAATGAACACAAAGAAAGAAAGCCAAGTGTGAGGGTCTGATTTTAAGCCCAGTACCAACATCAAGAGCATAAAAAATAGATACATTAATATTAAAGTGGATAAAATGAACATGTATTGAATCTTTTTTAGGAAACTCCTTAAAGTTGCTTCCATTTATACTAGTGTGGTATGATAAAAACCTGAATATAGCATCTGTTCTTGCCCTTAATTAGCAATAACACTAGTCCAATAATTATACTTCTTTGGGTCTGAGTTTCTTCATGTAATATAAAGAAGTTAGAATGTATTCTCTGTATAATTCACTTCTGTAATTATTGTCAAGTATTTTTCTGAAATATTTTCCATGCATAAGATATAGTTATTTAAATATATAATGTTTGCACTTGCTTTAAAAATATGATCTGCATTTTATTTAATACAATGACTCACATTAAGTAAATTGTTTTACATCATCTCACATATGTAAAAATTGCATGTCCATTTTCTATTTTGCTGTAAAACAATTTGGCTATGCAGGTTTTTTTCAATTTTTAAATATTTAGTCTACTAGTATAATTATTTTTTATTAGCTTTCCTTCCTTGGGCTATCTCCAGTTATTTATGCCTCCTCTATTCCCCTTTGAACATATCTGGTTATATATTCCTTCTGTTATCCTGACTTCTTTGCTGTTCTTTTAGGAGTAAGCTCTCTTGCACTAGCCCTATTCAAAAGTCTTTCCACCCTGGATCCACACTTCCTTGCCCAGATTTTGGGACCTTCCTAATTGCCTCATCCCTTTCAAAACAATTTCATCTGAAAAGATGAAACAAAAGTGAGAATTCAAGCCTTTGCCAATACTTCTTACTGAGTAAGGAGAGGAACTGAGGAGATCATCTATTACATTCTAAATCTTGACAATCACTCTGAAATAACATGTTTATTGCTATCAACTTGGGTGGATGGGGTCTAGTCTATTTTTAAATTTTCCTAAGATCCATTTAAAAATATGTCTTCTCACAGATTTTGTCTTCCCCTCATCCATTCTTCCTTCTGAAAATGTGTAATCTACAGTCACTTGTACAAGACTCAGACTGCTAAAGAATGAAATTTTGGACAGAGTGAAGAGCACCAGATTTGGAGTTAGATGAATAAGATGTTTTATGTCTTAGTTATGTCTTGAACTAGTTGGGTCATCTCTAAGCCTGGATTTCTGAATGTGCTGAAGGGAATTATGAATACAATCTATAACATTTGTCTCTCAGGGTATTTCTAAACCTAAGAGATGAATAATGAATTTGAAAGTACCCACCAGTGGTAAAAGTCTACACAGGGAAAAAATATTTTGGGTATCCTGAAATTTTAGGAAATTTCCATCTTAGTTCATTTTCCTATCATTAGGCTAGAGACAATATGGTAACTCATTTAATTCAGGCCAGAATAGAGTATGACTATGGAAAGTTTTAAGATGAAATTGTCACTCTTCAATCACAACATAGATGTAAGCACTAATTAAAACTAGTAATCTAAGCTAAATGTTACACCACTCACCCATGATACGGAACTTATCAAGACATATAAAATGGTTTTTATGAAATGCAGATAGAATCTTCATAGAGATATGTGGGTTGGTTTTAAATCGATAGCCTTATTAAAGTAGCAACTTGGTATTAAAGTTACAAAGGCCAAGATAAAAGACTTTACAAGTTAGAAATTGGACTATTGGAAAACAATTTTGTTCCCGAAATAAATGTAACAATGTTTCCTAAATAGAATATTCAAGTGCTTACAAAACTTACTCAACTTATCAGTGGGAAAATACATAATATATATGATATATGTGTAGTACTGTAATATACTTAATGTATGGTATATATTCTATATATGTTATGTGTTTAATCATTTATATACCATACATTATGGTATACATAGTAAGGATAAATACATAAATATACATAATACAAGCTAAGTATAAACTCATGTAAGTATATATGTATATATCTCTCCATCCTTCTTTCCCTTTTTTTTCAATTCCTTTGTGAAATCGAGGGGGTGCAACGGGGATTCTGTCGTGGATTCTTCTTGGAACTGGGCGCTGGAGTGTCGAATGTGGAGTCGCGTCGTCCCGTTGCCCGGGAAGGCGGCCTTCCCCGGAGGGAGCGAATGCGCTCTGCTCGGCCGAGGTCGGAGCTCCCGGGACCGCGGCGCTGCGCGGCGAGGACAGGTGCGCGGCTGCCGCGGCGCTGG